CTACAAACAACAAATGCTGGAGAGGGTGTGGAGAAAAGGGAACCCTCTTGCACTGTTGGTGGGAATGTAAATTGATACAGCCACTATGGAGGTTCCTTAAAAAACTAAAAATAGAATTACCATAATGCCCAGCAATCCCAATACTGGGCATATACCCAGAGAAAACCATAATTCAAAAAGACACATGCACCTCCAGTGTTCACTGCAGCACTATTTACAATAGCCAGGACGTGGAAGTGTCCACTGACAGACGAATGGATAAAGAAGATGTGGTACATATGTACAATGGAATATTACTTAGCCATAAACAGGAAAGAATTTGGGTCATTTGTAGAGATGTGGATGGACCTAGAGACTATCATACAGCGTGAAGTAAGTCAGAAGGAGAAAAACAAATATTGTATATTAATGCATATATGTGGAATCTAGAAAAATGGTATAGATGAACTGGTTTGCAAGTCAGAAATAGAGATGCAGATGTAGAGAACAAACTATGGACACCAAGGGGGAGGGGTGGGATGAATTGGGAGATTGGGATTGACATATATACACTACTATGTATAAAATAGATAACTAATGAGAACCTGCTGTATAGCACAGGGAACTCCACTGTACAGTAAAAACTAACACAACATTGTAAAAAAACTATACCCAAATTAAAAAAAAAATTAATTAAAAAAAAAGAAGACAGGGACTCCCCTCGTGGCACAGTGGTTAAGAATCCACTGCCTGCCAATGCAGGGGACATGGGTTCTATCCGTGGTCCGGGAATACCCCATATGCAGCGGAGCAGCTAAGCCTGTGCGCCAAAACTATTGAGCCTGCACTCTAGAGCACATGAGCCACAACTACTGAAGCCTGCGTGCATAGAGCCTATGCTCTGCAACAAAAGAAGCCACCGCAATGAGAAGCCCATGCACCACAATGAAGAGTAGTCCCCGCTCGCCACAACTAGAGAAAGCCTGCATGCAGCAATGAAGACCCATCGCAGCCAAACATAAATAAATAAAAAATAGAAGATGTGGTACATATATACAATGGAATATTCCTCAGCCATAAAAAGGAACGAAATTGGGTCATTTGTAGAGACGTGGACGGACCTAGAGACTGTCATACAGAGTGAAATAAGTCAGAAAGAGAAAAACAAATATCATATATTAACACATATATGTGGAATCTAGAAAAATGGTACAGATGGACCAGTTTGCAAGGCAGAAATAGAGACACAGATGTAGAGAACAAACATATGGACACCAAGTGGGGAAAGGGTGGGTGGGATGAATTGGGTGATTGGGATTGACACATATACACTAATACATATAAAATAGATAGCTAATGAGAACTGCTGTATACCACAGGGAACTTCACTTTGCTGTAGAGTAGAAACTAACACAACACTGTAAAACAACTATACCCCAATTAAAAAAAAAATCCCAGTCTTTGATGAGTCATAAATTAGAAACACATTTCTGCTGCCTATTATTAAAACATAGTCATTTATTGATGCTTAACATTTTCTGACTTTGAAAAGCATTAAAGTCCATCTAGGTGAAAGGGCCTGTATAGCAGAAAACTTCTTTTCTTTTTGTACCTGCATTTACCTAAATCATCCTGTTCCTATATTTCCTTAATTCTCCTTCCTTGTGCAGTCATTGGTAGTCCAGAGGGCTCACACCAGAGAGAAGAGGAAAGAGGACTTTATTTTTCCAACTTCACTGAGGTATAATTGACAAATAAAAATTGTATATAGTTAGGTTATATGACATGATTTTTAAGGTGTATAATATGATGACTTTATATATAAAAATATTTTATATGTAAATATTATATAATATTATTAAATATTATACTATATAATATTTATAAGTATAAATGATTACAACAATCAAGTTAATTAACACATGCATTACCTCCCATAGTTACTTTTCTTTTTTTGGTGATAACACTTAAGATCTATTCTCTAAGCATGGGCCCGGTTGACCAATTCAGTAACATTTTCAAGGTTCATCCATGTTGTAGTATTGAATATTTATCAGTACTTCATTCCTTTTTACAGCTGAAATATTCCATTGAATGGATATACTACATTTTACGTATCCATTCATTATTTTTTGGCCATTTGGGTTGTTTCTGCTTTTTGGATATTATGAACAATGGTGCTATATTCCATTAATATTTGCAAAAATACTTAAAATATTTAGGAGGGTCAGTGGAAAAAATATTCAACTAGGAGTTCAGAAACGTAAGGTCAACTTTAGCTTTGTAGTAATTCCATGTTCACTAAAGGAGATTTGACTAAAATTCCTTTGACCTTCAATACTTGATAATTTTATATTTTTTGTCTTTTTCAAGTGTTTGGCCTAAGACCAAAGTCCTGCAGCAGAAGAAACATTAGGTCATTACAACTATACATTCTACACTGTAGCTAGGAAGTGCACTCAATATTGTAATTAATCTTAACCTTAAATCTTTTCTATGTTTTTTAACTTAGTCTACTGTACAGTTTGGAGAATACTTAAAAATTCAGTTTTATATTGCTCCTCTTTGGAGAACAGGTGCTCTTCATTTTACCAAATGATAGAAATCCTAATAATAAACAAAAATAATCTGAATGGAATGTGCTGAGGAAATATTTTCATTTCTCCCTGTTTTATTTCTGGTAGGGAATGGACAGTTCCTAAAATCTTGTCATTTGTCACCACAGCCCAAAAATCATCTTGCTCCCCCTTCATACATAAAGATGACCTTTAAGGAGGATTTGAGAAAATTCTAGATGACCATTTTGACATGCTTGAAAGCTGGAGCAAACAACCTATTTCCTTTGACCATTCTCTTGGGCAATAAAAGTTTTTATTTTATTTTACTCTATTTTTTTAATTGAAATATAGTTGATATACAATGCTGTGCCAATCTCTGCTGTACAGCAACGGGACTCAGTTATACACATATAGACATGCTTTTTCATTATGTTTTATTACAGCATATTGAATATAGTTCCCTGTGCTATACAGTAGGACCTTGCTGTTTATCCATCCTATATATAATAGGTTACATCTGCTAATCCCAAACTCCCAGTCTTTTCCTCCCCCACCCCTCCCCCTTGGCAACCACAAGTCTGTTCTCCACGTCTGTGAGTCTGTTTCTGTTTCATAGTAGGTTCATTTGTGCCATATTTCAGATTCCACATGCAAGTGATATCACATAGTATTTGTCTTTCTCTTTCTGACTTAACTTCACTTAGTATGATAACCTCTAGCTGCAAAGGTTTGGTTTTGATTAGGGAGGATGGGGGTGGGATGGGGAATCTTCCGGTCACTAATTAGCAATGTGCTTATCTACTAATGAAAGCTGAAACTACTTTTGGAAGTTAATGGTGAAGAAAACAACTTAACGGCAATATACCTCTAGAATTCATTCTAATAAAGTCCGTATCCGGAGACACACGTTGGAAAACTCAACCCAGACAGTAAACTTTCCCCAATTCGTACTAACCCTCGTGAAACTTATGGGTGATGCTTGGATTTCCTGGTCGTTTCCTCAGAAACCGCAGCCAGAGAGGTCGTTTGCCCGCACCAGGAGGAGCGTCCGGAGAGGTAGGTGTTCTTAAGCTATCGTCTGCGTCTGCGCTGGTCTCCCGCGCCCTTGTAGTGAAAGAGGCCCGGATGGAAGACGCGGAGACGCGCCGTTGCCATGGCAGCCGGGTGCTGGCTGCTGCGGCGCAGGTGCTGAGGTCTCGCTCGCTTTGCTGTCAGAGCTTAGACAGAGGAGGAAAGGAGAACTCCCCTGGCCGACTTTGTGACCTCAGCCGCTGCGTCTTACACAGGCAGGAGGGGAGGGGATATGGAGGGAGCGAAGGGAAGGATGATGCGGAGATATTTACGGTGGGAGAGAGGGTAAAGGGGTAAACGTCTGGGACAGCTGGGAGGAAAGGTGGGTAGAGAAGCGAGTGAGGAGACTTCGTGTTGGCGCCTCATCCTTCTGAGTCCGGGGCCCACGGAGCTTGGCGCTGGCGGGGAAGCCTGGCAATTCCGCCTTACTTCGCTCTGTATGAGGGAAACCCCTCAGAGGGTAGCTTCCTTTCTAATTTTTGTCATATTCTTTCGCCTCTAAAAGTTCTCATCCCTGGGAGAAAAAAGTCACTCCTGAAATGTTAGTTTCCATGAAGAGGCTAAGGTATTCAGTTAGTCGGTGGTACCTTGGGACCCTGGATAGAAATTAAAATTACCACTGATGTTTGTAAAATATTGTTTATCGTCATACTGTGTGACAGATTATGACTTAAAAAAATTTTACTGATGGGATCACAGTCTGGGTAGGATGCCGCAGTAAGAATGGGCCAGATGGTTTCATGATGTGATTATTGGTTAGCTTTTGCTTAAGTACTTATTTTATATTAAAAGGCGTTTGGTTTGACGTTCTTCCCGTTTTCTTAGATTTTAAACAACCTTGAAATAGTATGACTGGAGTCAATGATTTAGATTAAACTATTTTTGAGTGTTTTGAATCCTGAAAGAAACTTATCAAAATTGTGTGTATATATGGACTTAACTAAAAAATCTACAGTCATAACCACTTGGGATTTAGCAGACACATAAGAGGAAGGAATTAATTTCTGTCTCTTGCTACAGTTCCTTATTAAGAGGGTGGTTCTGGCCTAAGCCACCTACATAGGTTTTTACTGATGATACACAGTGAATGTGTGAAACTCACAAGGAATACGTGTTAGGTGATTCAGTTTGTGTAAGATGTATTTCTTTTCCAGAATGTAGACTGTGTGCCATATGGCCAGTACCCTGGGGATGAAGATTAAAAAAACTGAAGGAGATTGAATATCCTGTGACGCATTTGAAAAAGGCTTAAGGGACTTCGTTACAAGAGTTTATGATTTATGTTCTTTGTTTACTTGGGAACTATCCATGAATTTTTTGAAGTTACAGGAGAAGAATGGCACTTGTTATTTGATGAACTTCATTTACTTCCCTGAGTCACTTCAACTATGGCTTTTTTTTCTTTTTAATTATAGCATAATAGTTTGATTTAATAATACCTAACATGTTTAGTTTGTAATTATTTTATTTTTATTTATTTTGCTGATTCTGTGTTTTAGTTTTAAATTTGAGTTTTCACATGGGTGAGATACTTTGTGAATAGAAAAGCGTATCTACTGGAGTCTTCAGGCAACCATTTATTTACAGGTCAGAACCATGTTTTTATGAAATTAAGGGAAAGCACTGATGAGTTCCATAGAAGTCTTACTCTAACAATTAGTTATGTAACTTAAACATCTTAAAATAATATATTTCAAGATTCCTGATCTGAAAATAAAGCTGATTATCCTAAGGCATATGTGACTGTGAAAAATAGTATTATTTATATAAGTGTTTTGGATCACAGTGAGTTTTAGTCTATTCTACATCATTCTTGGCACCCTTACTTTTTAAAACAATTTTTAGAAATTTATTTATTTTATTTATTTATTTTTGGCTGCGTTGGGTCTTCATTGCTGCATGTGGGCTTTCTCTAGTTGAGGCGAGCGAGGGCTACTCTTCCTTGTGGTGCGTGGGCTTCTCATTGTCATGGCTTCTCTTGTTGCGGAGCACGGGCTCTATGCACGCAGGCTTCAGTAGTTGTGGTGCATGGGCTCAGTAGTTGTGGCTCACGGGCTCTAGAGCACAGGCTCAGTAGTTGTGGTGCTCGGGCTTAGCTGCTCCGTGGCATGTGGGATCTTCCCGGACCAGGGCTTGAACCCGTGTCCCCTGCATTGGCAGGCAGATTCTTAAACACTGCACCACCAGGGAAGCCCCGGCACCCCTACTTTTAATTGGTAGGTAAGTAGACAAAACAGTTTACGTGATTTAGCCAGTTTTGCAGCTTAGGCAGTGATAAATAAACTCACTCTGAAACATTGATTCGTTTTCTTCAGGTCATTTCAAAATATTCCTCTCAACCTCTGATTTCCAAATTATTGAGGCATTACTTTGAGTCCTTTAAGAAAGTCCATTTCCTATTTTTAGCTTAAAAGAAATAAGTATCTAGAAGGATACAGTCCAACTAATACATTAGAGATAGCTATAATTATCCAGTTGAATAATTGAGTTGAATAATTAACACTCAGTGTGCCTAAAACTAATTTTGTCTTGAGAGGGAAGGGGAAATAATATTAAGAACTCTGCAGAGGAAAGGTGGTGACATTTAAATGAAATAGACTTTAGAATTTAAGTCTTGAACTCAGTTATTCAGACACCGATAATTTATTTTAGAGTGAGCATTATCATGGTACTGTGCATTTGTTTTTACATTCTCTTGCATTTCATAAGTCGGCAGTTATTTGCTAATTTGCATCTTATAGTAAAAGTTAAAATAAACCTTAAGGGTCAAAAACTACAAATAGAATTACCATATGACCCAGCAATCCCACTACTGGGCATATACCCTGAGAAAACCAAAATTCAAAAAGAGTCATGTACCAAAATGTTCATTGCAGCTCTATTTACAATAGCCCAGAGATGGAAACAACCTAAGTGCCCATCATCGGATGAATGGATAAAGAAGATGTGGCACATATATACAATGGAATATTACTCAGCCTTAAAAAGAAACGAAATTGAGCTATTTGTAATGAGATGGATAGACCTAGAGTCTGTCATACAGAGTGAAGTAAGTCAGAAAGAAAAAGACAAATACTGTATGCTAACACATATATATGGAATTTAAGAAAAAAAAATGTCATGAAGTACCTAGGGGTAAGACAGGAATAAAGACGCAGACCTACTGGAGAACGGACTTGAGGATATGGGGAGGGGGAAGGGTGAGCTTTGACAGGGCGAGAGAGAGTCATGGACATGTACACACTAACAAACGTAGTAAGGTAGATAGCTAGTGGGAAGCAGCCGCATGGCACAGGGATATTAGCTCGGTGCTTTGTGACAGCCTGGGGGGTGGGATAGGGAGAGTGGGAGGGAGGGAGATGCAAGAGGGAAGACATATGGGAACATATGTATATGTATAACTGATTCACTTCGTTATAAAGCAGAAACTAACACACCATTGTAAAGCAATTATACCCCAATAAAGATGTTAAAAAAAACCAAAAAACAGATTTTTGAGGATATTCTCAGTCACTTGGATACACAGTGAGCAGTAAATAAAACTCTTGTAAAACCATAAAAAAAAAAACAAAAAAGAAAACTTAAGGGTCATCTAGCTCAATCATTTGTCTAAAGTTTCAGTCTCCTTTGAAACAGTCATGCTGTGTTTATCTTCCGAGCTATGTATAAACATTTGATCAACAGGGAACGCAGCTCACTTCAGGGCAAGTTTGAAAATGTAAATTCTGTCTTACATTGTGGAAAAATTTGCCCCTGAGTTTCTAGTCCTTGGTACTAGTCTTACTGTTTGAAATAACGCAAGTCCAACCCTCCTTTACATGGTGACCATTTAAATATTGTAAAGCAGTTGTCATGACTCTCCTTTAGGAGATTTCTCTTCTGTGGGCTAACATTCTGAGGGTTTTTAAGTATTCCTCAGAATACTGGCTTTAAGGCATTTTATTCTCATAACCTGCCTTCTTCCCTTCTCCTTGTCTTTTATTTCTCTGTCTCCTGGTTTACCAACCTCTGAATGTGTTCCGGCTTGTCTTTTGTTCTCTAAACTGTAACAAACTGCGTACAGAGCTTCGTATGTTATCTGTACCTCAGCCAGGTCTCAGCCTTGGAGCCCATTTACGTTTTTGTCCTCATCATTTTTTTTCTAATTGATGTATACTTGATTTACAATGTTGTGCTAATTTCTGGTGTACAGCAAAGTGATTCATATATTCTTTTTCATATTATTTTCCATTATGGTTTATCACAGGATATTGAATATATTTCCCTGTGCTATACAGTAGGACCTTGTTGCTTAACAGTAAGACCTTGTTGTTTATCTGTTTTATATATAGTAGTTTGTATCTGCTAATCCCAAACTCCTAAATTATCCCTCCCCTACCCCCTTTCCCCTTTGGTAACCAAAAGTTTGTTTTGTATGTCTGTGAGTTTGTTTCTGTTTCATAAATAAGTTCATTTGTGTCATATTTTAGGCTCCACTTACAAGTGATCTCATATGGTACTTGTCTTCCTCCTTCTGACTTACTTCACTTAGTATGATAATCTCTAGGTCCATCCATGTTGCTGCAAATGGCATCATTTCATTCTTTTTTATGGCTGAGTAATAATATTCCATTGTGTATATATACACACCACATCTTCTTTATCCATTCATCTGTTGATAGACATTTAGGTTGCTTCCATGTTTTGGTTATTGTAAATAGTGCTGCTGTGAACATTGGGGTGCATGTATCTATTTGAATTATCTCATCCTTTTAACTCATTTTGAACATACTGTGCACTAAAACCTATCAAAAGGTTTTTCACACATAGCGTTATCTATTCTCTTAGTTAGTGCTTGTACAGCTAGTGGAAAGATGGTCTCCCACATGCTTTCATTATCATTTGGTGGTGAACAGTAGAAGGAAAAAAATGTAAATCTTGCTTTAGTAAAACTGGCACCAGGCTAGGTAGTCTGGTCAAACATTTGGGGAGAATAAAGTGAAGCTAATGGCCACAACAGAGTTTGATGTTTTATGTTTATCAAATCAAACAAAATTTCTCTCATTTTGTATCTTAAAAAATGTACCTAGGGCTTCCCTGGTGGCGCAGTGGTTGAGAGTCCGCCTGCTGATGCAGGGGACGCAGGTCCGTGCCCTGGTCCCGGAAGATCCCACATGCCGCGGAGCGGCTGGGCCCGTGAGCCATGGCCGCTGAGCCTGCGTGTCCGGAGCCTGTGCTCTGCAGCGGGAGAGGCCACAACAGTGAGAGGCCCGCGTACCGCAAAAAAACAAAACAAAACAAAACAAATGTACCTAGATTTAATGTGTGCTTGACATCTGTACTTTCTACTTCCAGAAAAGGTTTTAGGCAACCTATTCTTGGTGTAAGAGCAAGAGAAGGCAGGCATAGAAACAAGGTCCCAGGTGTTTGGGGCCCTGAAGATCATAGTTCTACAGTTATTTTGAAACTGGACCTAAAATTCTAGGTATATTTATAGAGCATTGCTCTTTTTGTTTAAGTCAATAGTGGGACGTATGCAGATTATTGCTGTATATTTCTACCTTTGGCTATTTCATGACAATTAGATCCACATAAACAATTTTCCCTCAACCATTTTCTTTTTGAAAAGAAAATATGACATCAAACTGATGCCTTCTCACTTCTTCTAGACCCTTCTCCAGGAGCACATTTATGTTCAGGCCACACTGGAAAATTCCATGCACTTCCGTGTTGCTTCTTCCTCATGCTGTTCTCTTGTCTGGGATAATGATGAACTCTCGTACTCATTATTCAAAACCCATCTCATTTTTCCTTGATATTTCCAATTTTAAATGGAGTTAGTTGCTTTTTTATTCTTCTTTCCACAGTCCTTTATAATATACCTTTTCCCCACTTATCTACATTTTCAATTTATGTTTTTTATCTACATTTTAAATGTATGTATTTTGTTTATGTTTGTCTTCTGTATCAGGGCTCAAGAGCATATTTTATAATTTTTATAGGAATATCGTAGGTGTTCAACAAATATTTGTCAGAATTGCAGTACATATTCACACATGTATATAGTATGCTCACACACATAAAGGCACGTTATAGGTAAAGATTAAAATGCTTCCATCATTTGAAAAGTTATGGACCAAAAAATTAGGACTTGGAACTGACCTCAATTTGCAGATAACTTTAGTTTTTTCATGAAAATGGCTGAATGGTATTTTCATAAAAAGTTTTATACCATTTTCACAAACATTTATTAACTGTCATCTGACATTCTTATTTCTTGTCACTGCCTTCCAGATAGTACTAGGCATCACAGTTTGTTTTTTATGAAAAAGATATATTTTATTTTGAATTGACAACAGTTTGACTTCTCTGGAAATTAGTATTTACTATAACTGTCAGTCAGTTGTTACATAGTTAAAAAAAACTCTCAGATCACAAATTATAATTATGCTATATAAATTATATAGGATTGAGAAACTGAGGATGAGAATTAATATAATTGTTTTTATTTGAATATGAGAAAATGTGAACGAGTGAGACTAAAAAGCTGATTCATCAGCTCGTACCTGGACAAGGAGTTTTAATGATTGGTAGGGATGTGGAAAATCCTTCTCTAAGGCTCAGATAGTTTTCTTTTCCACCCTTTTTAGTCTCCTTGTAAATAGGGTGTCAGCAATTGCGGGGAGGTGGAATGGTTGTTAGGAGTGGCACACCTAGAAAATGTCTGGCCTTTTTAAGTCTCTCTTTTAGGGTATGCTGATATGTTCATTCTGAACATTCCATAATTTGTGTTTCTGTGTTTAATTAGCTTACCTTTAACAAAGGTAAGCTAATTAAGCATACTCCATACTACCCCTAAAGTGGACATGGCGTACACCTTATCTCTTTTAATCTTATAACATTATTCTTTAACAAACAGAAAATGGATGAAAATCAAGAAACTGATTCAAAAGATATTGGAGAATATGAAGATGACTTTGAAAAGGACCTGGAATGGTTGATTAATGAAAAAGAAAAAAGTGGTGCCAGCATAATAGAGGTATATATAAATTGCCAACGGAGTTCATAGTAATTATATTAACGAAGTGTTTTGTAGTTCTTGAGGAGTTTCACATATATTATGTCATCTAAACCTCACAAAATTCCTTTGATATACATAGAGCAAGTGTAATTATCCCCATCTTAGAGATGAGAAAATTGAGGCGTGGAGAGTTTAAACGTCCTAAGGCATAGGGCTAATTAGTGAGAGAACGGCGATTAAGTTAACACTTAATAAAGCCAAAATTATAATTAAAAAATTAAAATTATAATTTACATAATATAAATAATTTATTGCATCAAAAGTAAAAAACAAATACAGTTAATTTCTACTTTATATGAACCTGGGTAAAATCATGGGTTTATTTTAATATACATGAAAAATAAAGCAAATCCTCAAAAACATGGTCTTCAGCTAATATTGGAAACCTTACGAGTGAATTTTAGGAGAAGGAATATATGGAAAAAAGTAAAAGGTCAAAGACTGAGCCATAGGAATATTTGTAGGGAAAAGTGGATCCATTAAACATGATTCTGTACTATTTATCAGACATGTAGAAGGGAAGTCCAGGAAAATGAACCAGTTCCTGGTTCACAGAAGGTTCCTTCTTTCTCTCTTTACATATATACAGTGTGTATGTGTATCCATATATAATATATATGTGTGTATATATATATGCATATGTATTGACACTAATTGTATATGTGTATTACAATAGATAACATGTAATTATTATGTATAATATAATTGTTGTCAATAAATAGGGAAGTAATAAAGAAAAGGACCAAGATGGGGATAAGAAAAGGTGACTTTAGAGGGACATTGATCAGAGTAGTTACAACAGAAGCCAGATTTCAGAGAGTTAAGGAAAAGAATATGAGGAAATGAAGGCAGCAGGTTTTACATCACAACTGTCTCTTAGTTCCTTTTTGCTTTCTTATGCAATGGAGAAGACAGATGGGACAGATGATATTTGGAAATGGCAACAGAGTCAAAAGTGAAGACTTTTCCAAGATGACTTTTACATGGCAGTTTTATGCATCTTTAACAAAAAAATAATCAGAATGAGTAGAGGTAGAGATACCCAGAGCAATAATGCTGAACCAAGGTCTCATGACTAGAAGAGTGTGAGAGCCACAGCACAGGGTAATAGAATTAGAGAAGTGATAATGATAATTCATTGTTTTACTTCTTTATTCATTCATTCAACAAAAAGTAATGATCACCTGCCATGTGTCAGAGGCTGTTCTAAGTGCTGAGGATACAGCAGTGGTCAAAACAGAGTGCTGTAATGAGTCTTGCTCATTCTGGTGGATTATTACAATCACTTTTTCCTTTGAGGCTAGTAGGAAAAATGGATGACAGAGCTTGAAACAGGGGTGAGGGTCAGGGGAAGATTTTACTGTAGTGGGTTTTACAAAGAAGTGAAAGCTAAAGGAGAATTTGGAAACAGATACTATAGAAATGAGCCAGAGAATCAAATACAGCTAAAAAAGAAAAATTACAAGGCAGAGGTCTTAGTTGGTCTTAGTTGTTTGGTAGTCATTTTAGGGGGCCAGGTTTATTTACTTATTGGACATCCAGTGGTGTTGTGCAGGTTAGGAAGAGAAGGCTGTTAGAAATGGTGACTGAGCTAGTAAAAGAGGAAGGGAATTTTAAGGGGTTGAAGAGAGCAGAAAAGAGTAGCTCCCATGGAACTCTTTCAGGAGGAGAGAATTGTCTCAGAAAGAGAAAAAATTATATATTTTAGGGGCAAAGTGTTTGGTAGGTGAGGATACATGTTTGTAGGGGAGATGCTAGGTAAGAAACCATTAGCTAGACACATGTGGAGCAGGGTTTTGTGATGTGATAATGCTGGTTTACGGTTCATGTGGAATTACATTTTTTAAAAAAGTAAGGCCAAGTTATATAATGGTGTTTAACATAGATTATTGGAGCCTCTGAAGATAGCTGAGGAAAGAGAATCTGATCCAGAGCTAAAACTTGACCTGATATTTGGGTATAAGTCCTGCAGAAAATAGCAGCAATACTAATCTGAAAAGATTATAGGAACCTCAAAATTATTAGGACTTGACCAAAGGCAGTGACCTTGTAATGGTCCTGGGGAGAAAGATATCTTTTTGAAAAATACAAATATTACAAGGAGAAAACATTTTAAAATATATTCTTCTGAAACTGTAAAGGGAAGAAAATTTTATAGAGGGAGGAATATTAAAATAATATTGTACTATTTGTAGGTACATTTTTATACATTGGCATAAAATTAAAAAAAAATAACCAGGCTAGTACTTAGCAACATCAAATTCAAATTTAGAGTTAAATTTTTCCTGAAGTGCTTTTCCCTTGGGGTGCTCATAAATATGAATTAGAAAATTATGAGTGAAGTATGAGCAGGAAGCATGTAAATTTTCCCACTTATAAAATAAATTACATGAGCATGAAAATCCATTTTGGATTGTCTACATATAAATGGACAAAAGAGTCTCAATTTTTACTGAAAATGAATCTCATCTCTGTTTTTCTAGAAGGTTTGTGGGAATGAAGAGAATATTAACCAAGGCTTAAAAGAGAATGAAACAGAAATAGAACATTCCAAGCAGCTTTCTGATCCTGACAGATCTTTCAAGGATGAGGTTTCATCAATAAGAAATGACTTCATTTCTGTACCAAGTATTCAACCTTTGGATCCCATATCAGATTCAGACAGTGAAAACTCTTTACAGGAATCCAAACTAGAAAGCCAGCAAGACCTGGAGGAGGAAGAGGATGAGGAAGTAAGGAGATATATTATGGAGAAAATTATACAAGCCAACAAGCTTCTACAAAATCAAGAACCTGTGAATGATAAAAGGGAAAGAAAACTTAAATTCAAGGACAAATTAGTTGATTTGGAAGTTCCTCCTCTGGAAGACACTGATACTTACAAAAATTATCTTGAAAATGAAAGTAATGTGTCTGGAAAACTGTCTCAGTTATGTATTTCCAATGAATTTGCACAAGAAAATGTGCTCCTGTCGCCTACTGATGGAAATTCTGAAGAAAACAAGGATAGGAAAATACTAGTAGAGAGAGATGGAAAGTTTGAACTTCTGAATTTACAAGACATTGAGAGTCAGGGGGTTTTGCCCCCCATTAATAATGCTAATTATACAGAAAATGAGCCTCAGCAGTTGTCACCCAGATCTCCCAATTTATCTGTCAGTGGAGTCAAGAAAGAAGAGCCAATAGCAAAAATTCATGCTCTGGCTCACTCATCAACAGAAGAGCAACTGGCTTATATCCCTCAGCCACCACCCAACCCCAAGACTCATCCAGGTTCTGCTGCCAACTCAGATCGAAGTAAGGGGAATGGAAAATCTAGTCATAGGACACGGTCTGCAGATGTATCTCCAGTGACCTCAACATACTGTCTCTCTCCTCAACAGAAAGAACTGCAAAAACGACTAGAACAAAAGAGAGAAAAGCTAAAGAGAGAGGTGAGAGCACAAGTGGGCGTTATATTGAAAGTAGAATGTTTTTATGTTTTATAAATGCTGTAGGAATTGAAATGGTTCTTCAAATTATTTGATATATCTACTTGCTTGTTTTGTTTTTCTTTTGTTAGATTAAGTGGTTAAGTGTTAAGCATCTGTATTTATGGAACAAGCACCATGATTACCTTGGTCATTTCTGGTAAGCATCACAAAAGCATAGTAATGAATGACCCGTGTTAGAGCTAGAGGAGACCTCAGTGATGACCTCATCTGATCCTTTCATTTTAAAGGTGAGGCTCAGAGAAGTTAAGTGACTGCTGAAAGTAATCTTGTTATGAGGTAGGTGAAAATCAGATGTCAGATGAAAAAATGAAGGCACAAATTTGTTGGAGTTTAGGAGGCAACAGGTGAGACTGGATTATGTTCTCTGGAGTGTGTGTGTGTGTATTTCATATATCTTCCAGGCCTACTGATGGAAGAAATTTTCACATATTGAGGTATGGGGAAGTCATTCTGGCTTATACATGATTTGTCTTGAACCTTATGCTAACTAGAACAGCCTGTCTTATGGCCTGTAAAGCATACATTGTACATCTCCTTTCATCATTAAAGAAAACAAAGAATGTATTTACCAGATTGCTTAGAATGTCCACTTTGAAGATAGGATAAATGCTCCCCCACTTCCCATGACACCAATGCTAATACTCCTTTGAAGATGAGGTTCCCTACCCAGACACCAAGGTCATACTGACTTACTGTGTACATGTTAATCTGTCTCTTTTGAAACCTTGAAGGGCTGTACCCCTCTCACGCTTGATGTTTGTTCTTTGTTCTGAAAAGATATAAAACTATGGTCCAAGCATCCAAAATGGCACTGGGTGGCCGTTGTGGATGTGGTTTCAGATGTGTTCCTTTATCGCCGAGAACTTGAATTTTCTGAACTGTATCAAACTCAAGTATATCAGAAGACTTTCCAAAATAGTATCTGCCAGCTGCAACCTTATGCTCTCAAGGTCTCCCCTTGAGATACCATTTCAGATACCAACCATTTCAGATACCAACCGATCCTTGCTTAACAAGCACCGTTATTTCCTGCCAGCTTCAATCCTGGTTCTGGACAAACAACTTATGTAACTTTGCAGTTTTTGCTTATATATATGCCTCCCCCATTTTGTAGTCCAGTGGAACACAATTCAAGTGCTTCTTGAATTTATGTCTCCTGGGCTATAGTCCTTAGTTTGGCTGGAATAAAACTCTTTTCTATTCCTATTACAGATTATTTTCGTCAACACTACAGTTCCTTGATTTCAGGGGTTTTAGTTTTAGATTAAGAATAGAACCTCATTACCTAAATGAAATGTCTCCAAAATGCCATACAGAATCCAAAATTATTATTTTGGGATTTTTTTCTTGCTCTTAAATAAAAGTATAATTGAAAATTCTAGGTACTAAAACTGGGGGATTTTCTCTAAATTACCTAAATCAGCGCCCTGCTTCTCTGTTTTACTGGATACCTGATAGCATGAAGCTGAACCATATAAAATGTCTAACTGTAAATACCAAACTGCAACAGAATCACAGTTAATAGAACCTTACAATTAGAAGAAACCTTAAAGATTATTTTACAGGTGAGAAACTATAGTCGAGATAGTTTAAATAACTTTATTGAAGTCCCTCAGCTTGTCTGTAGCAAAGTCAAAATCCCAGTTTTCTTGTCATTTGTTGAGAAACAGTATATTTTCTACTTATGTAGGAAATTACCATGGAAATTTCTGGCATTTAGATCAAACTCACATTAGCAGAAAAAGATAAAAAAATGAAGTTAGTAAGAACGTGTAACCTATAGCACACTCAGGTAGGAATCTGAAAGGGTGAATACTTAATAAAATTTTGCTTACTTGTGTACTGAACTCTAACAGTCAGACTCAGCTTACTTGGTTCAGGTATATAATAGGTACTTAAAAGGATCTGTTAACTCAGAACTTCATGATAACACAAAAGAATTTGTTGAGAATAACTGAACTATATGTTTGCTGTACACACACATGCATCTATATGTGTATTTGTGTATATACTTCTGTAAAAGTTATTCAGGAGTTTTTATATAATTTCAGTGTCTTTTCACTAATGAATTAATGGTAATCTTTAACTGGTATGACTGATGGATAGTTCTGTTTTTCTTTTGATCCTCTTTTTTAGGTGTCAAACACTCTGTTTTGGGATATACTTTTCTCATGTCAGGATCCTCATAACTAAATTTCCCTTTGCTTATGTACTTGCTGAAGGCATTGTCTTTAAGTGCTAAGACTTTAAAATATTTTTAGTTGGTTTCAGGGAAAGGCTTTCCTTTTTTATGCCCAGCAAAATATTTGCTGGGTTGGGCAGCTATACTCCATCTCTCTACATTAAGTGCATCATTTCACTGTTCTCTTTGGCAACTGTAGTATCTGTGCTTTGGCTGATATCTTCTGTATAATCCAGATGTTCCATCTGGAAAAATAATTGTCTTACAATACTGTCTATATTCATGCAAGGCATCCAAAATCCTTTTGGTAAAAATGAACTTAAATATAAAATTTAATATTTAATAAATTCACATATTATATAATGTAAGCTCCTTTAGGGCTTAGAAAATAGTATACTGGTATTTTAAAAGACATTTTGTACTGTTAATTGGATAGAACTTTTCCTTTCCTTCCTATATGTTGTTCAATCAAAAAGAATTAGAAGAGCTTGCTATATTGTCAAAATGTAAGGAAAGAACTCTGAATTCCATTATTTAAAAACAGTTTAAACATGTATTCTATAACTCAGTTTATTTCCATGCTAAAATTTTAGTATTGGAAGAGACTTAAGAGCTTGTTAATACAACTTCATCTTATAGATGAGAATACTGAGTTAAGTGGTTTGCCCAAATTGACATATTATGATAGCAGTATGATTGTTAATCAGATCTCCTAACTTCTAGCTTGGAGCTCTTTCCACTGTGACATGCTGCTTTGTTCCCAGTAACTATTTTATAACTCTTCATAATTGGTTTATACTTAAACCAGTGAGGTACTCTCACTTCTAGTTTAAGTAACTCTCTTTTATAACATTAGTTGAATAATGCAGCTATAAAGTGCATTTTGTTCTCATAGTTAACTAATTACTTATTTTTCTGATAGAAGAAATGTTACTTTATGATTATACAGTAGTTGAAAATATTTTTAAACATTATATTAAAAAAATCTCAAACATATACAAAGGTACAATTAACCCCTGTGTCTCCATTACCCAGATTCAAAAGTCATTGAGACTTTGGCATATTTGTTTCATCGCTTCCTTTTTTGGCTGAGGTATTTTTTAAAAATTATTTATTTATTTATTTTTGGCTGTGTTGGGTCTTCGTTGCTGTGCACGGGCTTTCTCTAGTTGCGGCAAGCCGGGGCTACTCTTCGTTGCGGTGCGTGGGCTTCTCATTGCGGAGGCTTCTCTTGTTGCGGAGCATGGGCTCTAGGCACACGGGCTTCAGTAGTTGCAGCGCGTGGGCTCAGTAGTTGTGGCTCGCGGGCTCAAGAGTGCAGGCTCAGTAGTTGTGGCGCACGGGCTTAGTTGCTCCACAGCATGTGGGATCTTCCTGGACCAGGGATCGAACCCACATCCCCTGCATTGGCAGGCGGGTTCTTAAGCACTGTGCCACCAGGGAATTCCCTGGCTGAGGTATTTTTAAAGCAAGTCCTAGACAGCCCTTATTGCTACTTGTGCACTTCAGAAGTGATTGTACATGTGAGAAAGAAAATGATTATAGCATTTTGTTTTGTAACCACAATGCCATGTATCACAATTATCAAATTTAACAAAAATGTAAAAAATTTTAAGACATGTATAGTGCTTCTATAGACCCCATGTAGTGCTTCTAGAGTGTGGTGTTTTTTTTCTCTTTTGCACAGCTGCAATTTGGGGAGTTAAATACCAAGAGTAAACTAGGAAGTGAAGGAGAGATCCAAGGAATTCTTGAACAGCATGTTGTATAATGTAGATCTATGTAATTGTAGACTTTATCTTGACAATTTAATTTATCTGAAAAGTCTTCATTTTTTCCCCTAAGCAAATTAGAGGTCCTGTTTTTTAGGGAGGCCCAATTTACAGATGGAAATTTTTAGGGGCAGGGAATCCTAATTTCAGATCTCAAAATGTATCTCTCTACTTTGATAACACATATATAATTTTATTAATTTTTCATTAATGTGTTTGGATATTCCTTCCACCAGGAAGAACAAAGGAAAATAGAAGAAGAGAAAGAAAAGAAAAAAGAGAATGACATGGTGTTTAAAGCATGGTTGCAAAAGAAGAGAGAGCAATTCCTAGAAATGAGGAGAATTCAGCGAGCAAAGCAAATTGAAGACATGAGCAGTAGAGTAAGTAAAACTCTGTGAAAAACAAGTTCATACAGATATGAAAGCTGAATTTATTTGTAGAAGGGAGGCTATCAGACTAAAAACCTATGGAAGAAGTAGAAAAAGTGGTCCAAGAGCTACCCTTGCTAAAGATGCCACATGCAGATGACTTATAATTAAATTCTAAGAAGGCTTGTAAAAATCAAATGATTCCTATTTTATTCAAACATTTATAGCACAGAAAAAGGAAAGCTACCAGTTCATTTTTTTAAGATAGTATAACTTTGATATTTAAATAGGAGGACAATGCACACAAAAACCCTATAGACTGGTCTCACTTAAGAGTAGATGTATAGAAATCTTATGTGAAAACTAACAAAGACATCAAATTATTTAATTTTTTAAAGTTCAAAATACACAAAAAACCCAAGAGACAGTTAAAAAAATCATCTATATCCATACTATTTAAAAAATGTATGTAAAGTAAAAATTGAAAATTCAATTCTAAGCCCTTCTAGGCTCATCCCCTAGTGGTAACCACTTTTAACAGTGTGCCGCAAATCCTTCCAGGTCTTATTTATATTTACATTTTTATCTGCTAAAAATTTATTATATGGTTTGATTTTTTTTCACTCATTCATCAAGGAAATATTTCTAGATCATTACATTTAGATCTCTCTTTTCAAATAGGTGTATGATATTCTACTTTTCAGAGGTAACTTAATTTATTAAACCATTCCTCATTTGTACATATTTAGATTGGTTCTAATACTGCTCTATTAATTAACAGTGCTGTTGTGAACATGTGCATTCTGTAGGAGAACATCAGTATTCTGTAGGAGAGTTTCTTGGAAATTTATGACTTACTGGATGTCCAGAATGAAAGCTGTGGTTAAACATGCAAAATTAACCTCCTAAAAGGCCGTATCAGTTTATAGTCCCTCCAGCAGTATGGAAGAGTGAATGTTTAACACATCCTGTCTAACATTGTACATAGTTTATTTTCCTAATTTTTCTTCGAATTAATAATATACATTATTATTGTATACGAGCATGTGTGTATTCTGTGAATTTCCTATTTATAGTCCTTTTTTGTTTTATTTTTCTTATTGCATTGTATATTAGAGATTTTAATCCTTTGTCTATTATGTCTGTAAATATGTTTTCCTAGGCTGAAAAATGATATATTTTTACATTTATTTACATTTATTATGCCATTTGTAGAAATTTTTAGCTTTTAAAATCTTGGGATGGACGGTACCTTTTAAGGTAGTAGACCTGAAACCACAAACTAAAAGAGAAAATATTGAGAAATTTGACTGCAACTGTATAGTAAAATAATACTATGCTATAACCAAGTAGGGTTTATTTTAGGAAGGAAATTATGGACCAATAATAACAAATCTATTAATATATTTAGTACGTAATAGGTAGATAAAGGAGAATTTATGGTTATCTTGAAAGATATAGAAAGGGTATTTACTAGTATTTATTATAATTTATTTTTAAGTATTTCTAATAAAATATGGGTTACAATATAAATACCATCTTAGGTAATACTATAGGCATACCCATTAAAGTCAGAGATAGGTAAGGCTCCCCTCTATAATAATAATTTTATTCTAGGAGTTCTATCCAATTTATTAAGAGAAAAGGAAATGAGGTATAAGTATTAGCAAAGTGGTCTTTTATATTATAAATATACAAAAATTTATAGTCTTTCTGTATTCCAGCAAAAACCTCATAGAAAAATATAAAAGGGGAAGGAATATAGGCATATATAAAAAACTTTGAGCTGAACAGGAATGTGTAAGACCTCTATGGAGCGTCTTTGCAGGGGACCAAAAAGGTGAATTTGGTAAATGAAAATAAATATAATATTCCTAGATGGGGGGAAAATATTATAAATATATGAGTTATTTGCTAAATGAAAACAAATATGATACTCCTATAATATTCCTGGATGAATGAACTAAATATTACAAAGATTTGGGTTCCTCCAAATTTATCTTTATATTTAATGTAATATCCATTAAAAGCTGATTAGGACTTTTAAATTGTCATAATTGTTAGTGTTACTATTAATATTTATATTATTAAAGCAAAACTTTTGAATTTTCTAATAAAAAATGGGCAAAGGATATGTATAATAAGTTCAAATGATATGGATAAATATAGTTGTCCATAATATATGAGAGCAAGATACAAATTTGGTAGAGTCAAAGAAATGCCAATTTAAATTTTTTCATGTATTCGGTAGATATTTTTTTAACTGCTTACTATATGACAGATGCTATTCTAGGCACAGCATGGAAAAAATAGGTTTATTTTTAATTAATTAATTAATTAATTAATTAATTTGTTTGAGCTGGGTCTTATTTGCGCCAGGTGGGCTCCTTAGTTGCAGCTCGAGGGCTCCATAGTTGCAGCTTGCCAGCTCCTTAGTTGTGGCATGTGGGCTCCTTAGTTGTGGTTTGCCAGCTCCTTAGTTGAGGCACACGGGCTCATTAGTTGTGGCAGGAGAACTCTTAGTTGCGGCATGCCTGTGGGATCTAGTTCCCTGACCAGGGGTTGAACCCAAGCCCCCTGAATTGGGAGCATGGAGTCTTAACCACTGCACCACCAGGGAAGTCCCAGAAAAATAGGTTTAGTCTATGTTTTATAACGCTTATCTAGTAGGGATTGAAAAAAAAATTTTTAAGTCTCAATGTAAAATAGATTTATAATTATAAATAGTGATGAATGCTATGAAAAAAAGGGGCTATGAGAGATCATAATGAGGGCAATAAGTGTATCAGGAAAGATTTTTCTGATGAGTAAAGTAGAAGTAGAAATTAGGCCAAGGATTAGAGGAATTTGTTTTAAGCCAGGAGAACATGTGAGAATGCCTGAGACAGGAACTAACTTGGTGAGTTTGAGAGGATCCAGAAAGTGAGCAGGAATCAGATCATGTGGCATGTTGGGGTCTATAATTTTGTATTTAATCCTGTTATGGGAAGCCATTGAGATTATTTAAACAGAGGAGTGATATATTACATTCGCAGTTCCACAAGATCACTCTGACTGCCATGCTGTGAATGGATTGGAGGGGGCAAGAACAGATATGCGGAGAGCAGTTAGAAAGCATATATAGTTGTCTAGGTGAGAAATGATGGTGACTTGGCCTAGAATTATAACAGCAGAGAGAGAAAGAAAGAGATGTGAAATGTGATATTTGTTTTAGAGTATTAATTGAAGGAACTTCATAATTAACTAGATATGTGAGTGAGGAAGAATGAGGTGTAAAGGGAATACACCAGGTTTCTCTTCTGAGCAACTTGGTGGATGATGGTGCCACTCACTGGAGCAGTAGAAAAGATACTGATTGGGGGAAATTATCATTTCAATTGTTGAGTTTGAAGTACCTACAAAACTTTCAGGTAAAGATGTTGAAGACTGACTGAAGAAATGTGTCTAGTATTCAGGACAGAGGTTGGGACTGGAAATATGAATGAGAAGATTAGTGATTTCAAAGATGTGGATGTGGATGTGGCTATTGGAGTGGGTGGCAAGTGCAGTGAAGAAAGGCGTAGAAAATGAAAAATCTGTGAGGCTGGATGTCGAATGGCTCATTCATTTGGTTATAAGTGTTAACTTGGGATTAGGATGGAGAGGTACATTGAGCCGGTTGTGACCAGAGATTGTTAGAGTAATAGAGTCAAATAATATAAATATCAAAGGAGCATGGCTTTACTTAAGAGTAGAGAAGAAGAAGTTCTCTACTCTTCAGGAGTTCTGAAGAAGTATGAAGGAATAAAGAGTATATTAACTTCTTCACCAGACCTCTGAAGTACTTGAAGTATGGCAAAAAATGCAGCTTCCATTTGACAGAGAAAAGCTGTGTCTTACGGGAGAATCAGGATTTGGGTAAGGAAGGAGGTTTAAGGCCAGGGTCCTAGCAATGGTTTAGGAGAATGAGGGATGTTTGGAAGTCTTTATATTATTGAATGGGAATTATAGAGAAGAAACTAGAAAGATTTTGGAGGGAGTGAAGGAATTCGAGATTGGGCAGGTTAGAAGGATAGCACATTACTGTAGTATTTAAGAGTAAAGAAATTGAGAGGAGCTTACGTTTCAATCACTGACCAAGAAAAACCCCTGTGACAGCACTGCTGATAATTTCCCAGGGGATGACGGACCTTCAGGCCTCATGGCATTCAGCCTAATGTTATATTTTTATTGGGCATTTGTAAAAATAAATGTATACCTTAATTTTCTATTGTGTTCTATTTAGAGATAATAAAACTTTGAATTGTATTCTCTAAAAACATGAGCCACGTTGAACATAATTTAAATTTTTTTGGTTAGAAGATATCATGGTTATATATTTCCCTTTGGAGTTTTAATTTTTTGCTATATTTTAAGTCTGTCTCAAAAATTAACTTTAGCTAGAAATTATATCATAAACAAATAATATTCTGAAGAACTTCTGTGAACTTTGTCTCTACTGAAGCCGAGCTATAGTATACTTTGGCAGTTGATTAATTTGGCTTATTAATGCATTGTGATAGTAAGTGTATTTTGCTGGTCACTTCTGTGGGATATTTTGTATAATGTGAGTCATAGTTTCCAGAAAATATCTTTACAATATATAGACTGTAGAATGACCTATTTTACATTGAATTAAAAATGCTTTTAGGTGATGGAATTTTTATTGCCATTTAAGGAAAAATCGCTAAAAATGTCTTTCCATCTTTGTAATGAGCTTTGTTTCTCTTGGTCAGTGTTATATATAAATGATACGTGTGCACTGTATGTATATACACACATATGCAAGCATATGTATGCATGTCATCACTCTATCTAGGTGAACTCTCCGTGGACACTTGCATACATTTTGTATTCTACATTTGGATGTTGTGTTGTATTAATGTCAATGGGCTGAAGTTGGTCGATAATGTTGTTTAAATCTTCTATATCCTTACTGTTTTCCCCCCTCTTTGTTCTATGAAGTACTGAGAAAGTTATGTTAAACTATCATT